ACCACTGGTCCTGAAGGGTTCATCTGTCCTGGATTCCATTTTCCAGTTCCTATCTGTACCAGTGTACATCCTCTGGTCTAGCAGGGTTTGTAAGGTAGAATTGGGATCATGATAGTGGGCGGGGAGGAAGCATTTAAGAACTAGAGGAAAGTTGGATGTTTCATCGTTGTAAAGCAATGTTTTGAATAACAAGTCATAACATTGAATATCGAAGAATGATAACATCAACAAATTACATATCGCAACGTTATATGTGGTATGTATTATTACAAAGGATAAACTAAAAACCAAATTCACTGCTGAGTCATAGCAACCCTATTGGACAAGTAAAACAACCCCTGTGTGTTTCTAAAACTAACTCTTTTCAAGAGTAGAGAGCCTCATCTCCCATGGAGCGGCTGGAGGTTTCAAACTGCTGACCTAGAGGTTAGCAGCCCAATGCATAACCACTGTGCCACCCCAAGGGCATAACCATTTTGTTGCTCCCAGGGCTTCTTGGAATGACCAGATAGCAGTGGAAATGTGGTGCAGTACTGAAGGTTGCCCCAACGGGGGCAGCAAAGGATAAGGGGGGTGGGGAAAGGTGGGTTCATCAGGGTGAAAGCAAAAGTTGCTGAGTTCTCTGCCTCCTACTCCTGAGTCACTCGGGCTGGCAGCGGTTCCCTGCCGCACCTATGCTCATTCCCGGTTAGAATGAGCCGGACACCGGGATCAGTTTTCAAACACTGCAACAGAGGCAAGTGAGCAAGACAATCCATGGGCTCAGTCTGGGTCTGGGAAGAGTTGAAAGGCAAGATTAAGGGGCACAGGGTTGGTGTAGACCTGCACTGGTCCAAGAGCTGCCAGCTGCCCGTGTGGCTCTGGCGGCCTTTTGCCCCCATGAAGCAAGACCTTCCACATCTTGGCAGCTCAGCTCCTCTGCTGGTGTTCAACCAGTGTCTGCCAGCCCGCCTCACCCCCATCCCATCCCATCCCTCCTCTCCTGTTACAATCCCTGGAGACAAGAGACATTTTGCCAAGTGGTCCCATGTTTCAGAGACGATGAGGACACAATAACACACTTAGCACTGCCATTTCCGACTACGGCACATTAATCCTGTTATAAATAATCAACTACAACTATATCAACTAGAAATTTTCTCAGAAGTAATTTTTATGTGAAGCAAACCCATTCAGGACACCAACTAGGGAGTCTTTTTTTAATAACTGAACTATAAATAAAATAAGTCAAACTGTAGGCTATCCCCAAGACAGGGTTTAGCAAGAAGAATGTGGGAACTGACCCTTTTCTAG